TCGACGAACTTTCTTATAGGTGCGTAATGTGCAGCACGATAATACCTTAGAAAACAGGATTAGTCAAGTGGACACTATGGGCTAACTTATGCCTTCGCTCAGAGGCCTGACGACCAAAAGGACAGTTTATCTCGCAGCTTATATCGACGTTTACAAGTTACGTATTTCGATACGTACAATAGGGTGCTGTTTTCGCAAGACTTACTCGTAGCGAAGGATCGCAGCAGTAGCTACTGGTAAGGCTAGTTAGACCTCATTAGGGAAAGCCGTCAGGGATAGCCGAAGCACGTAAAGCACTTAACTCACGTAATTTGGTTACAGTGTCAGCGATGGAAGCTGCAACGCTGCTGCTGGCATTGCGCCAGCTCTATACAACATAGCATACTGCGTAGAGGTTTAGCAACTTATATCATGATGCCAAAATATCATACTCAATGGGCCAAGTTTATTGTGTCTAGCATTCTATTCCAAGCATCACTGACATTCAGGAAATAGCATCTGAGTCAAAACAAATCAAACTGTCTCACAATCTTGGGAGGGAACGAGGGCACTAACATGGACTGCGGCCTCACCGCGCTGTCCTAGGCGCCTGATGATGATGATGATGATAGTCGCGTTCTATATATCTGTACATCCTTATCACTTCCTTGGAACAGGAACATATGTGCAGGAAAAAGATTATGTGAAACATGATTAGCTGAAGACCACTTGAGTAGACTCTCGAAACAGTGTAACATACAAAGGCATTGACATATACCCGATATGTTCAACCAAAAATAGCAAATAATAACAATAGCCCCTTATGCATGTACACATATGTGAAGTAATCGATGCAACAAGCGTGCATTTACGTACAATATATCCTATTTTGGTGATAATGGATTCTTTACGACCATTTTAGCATGATCAAGAAAGAAACATTTATTTTTTTCAAACGTAATTTTAAATCGTAAACTGAGAAATTTTCCACTGATATACAGTGTTCTACCTAACGTTACCGGTTTCGTGTAAAGCAGAAAACTTCAATTTGCTTTACGAAAACTAGCTACGAGAGAAATGATGGTGTCTTTTGTGATTGGCGTACGTAGAATCGTGCTTACGTGTTCAATTCATGGTTGCAGTGATCGCCAGCCGCGAAGTCGGCTTTGCTACTGCTGAGACAATGCTCATAGTGCGGTTGTCTAGCGGTCAACAGATGAACGCATCGATTGACTTTTCTAATTGCAACAAACAGGGTTTAGCTTATATCTGTTTGCAACCATACTGTACTATATATATCAAAGCGTCTCAGAGAATTAAACACGAACTATCTGTTGGTAATTTTCCAAGATGTGGTTAATCTGGTGACCTTGATTCATTTCGTTTTATCCTGGGCAAAACTGTGTTATCTAGGAAAAACCCTTTGCACTGACAATAGCCAATTTTTAATTAATGCTTTTTGCCCACCGCATTTAGAATGTCGAGAAGAATCTAGAAGAGTTCTTCAATTTGAGTGTGTCAGCAAATGTATATACTGAATGAGAAACTATCGACATAACGACGGCAGGAACAATCAGTTTAAACTGTATTTAGTGAAGTCGCTTATAAGAAATTGGACGATTTTTTTACCGAAATTGGCAAACAGCTCTACAACGAAGAATTTTTAAAATCGTGTTCTCTTTCGCCTATTGTGTGTTACTGGGAAAGCTTCCAATTTAATCGATACAACTTCTTCTGCCCTTCAGATCTTGCCGTTGTAGCCTACCCAGTTGAGACGTTTGCAACAGTCATTTTGTTAACTGAAAGTACATACATCTACTCGTTTCGAAGACGTATATAGCAGCAGTTATCACGCAGGCAGTCAATGCGTCAGCACATAGCAGGCGCATCTCTCCACTTCAAAACGATTGGGAATACACAGAGTAAATTATAGCAATGGGCATCATAACGTACACCGGCACGATGGGAGGGGGCTATTTCTCAAAGCAACCGAAATTTGCGTCAGCCCTCGTTATTTCAGTATTTCGACCCAGGATTTTCATTAAGCATTGCTGCTAATGGCTGTAATTGGGACGATTAACTATCGTTAATTGTTATCGCTGGCCTCTTTAGCGAGAGCCCAAAAAATGGCAGTTGTTTTTTGTTCTTTATTTGGCAAGTGGCGCGCGTTCTCCAAGAGTTGTAGGCAAATTCGGCGCGTCTTCCGATTAGGGTAAAGCTCGCTTAACACCAAAATAGAAAGCTATAGATATGACAGACGAAATTTAACTCGCTGGTTAAAAATAGCTTAAGCTAGTTTATTGTCAAAACGGAGAACAGCAATGTTCAGAGAATGCAAAGGTTACGTAAAAGCAAAGAAAAAATGCGGCCGGAAAATCTGAACGCTGGAAAATATACACGCGTCTTTTATTGGCAACTGCAGCGTTTTTTTCTATCTAGGAACTGGCTAGAGGTGCGCGGTTGGTTTATTTGCTTGTACGGTATATACAGTAGCGACTTGATAATACAACTGATTAAAATTTGACATTCGTTTCAAGGGCATCTGCGCTTACTTAGCATAACCTGAACAGAATAATAGCGTTAAATACGTCGAAGTCGGTCTCTTATTAACTCTTCTATTCTAGCTTATCTATTCAAACTCTGTTTACTTTTTCCTTTTTTAACATACATAATATATATATAGAGTCAGATTTCACTATGAATGCTATAGCTTTCGGAGATCATAGATAGAGAGATAAACTTTGGGTTGCCATATTAAAATTTTCAAATCGTTTGTTGGGTCATCAATTAATTGGTCAAGCTGGAGACGTAGCCATGCGGCGTTTGTAAAAATTTTCCGACAACGAGTCCCTATAGACGGTCATAAAAGGAGGTAGCACGAAAGGATTACTTGACAAGGCAAAAAAGGAACGCTGAGGTAAAGTACGCAACTGTGCCATGGTGGCAAACCTCCCGCAGAGATTACATAACGTCTAGTATGCAACTATTTTTTTAATTTTTGTTCTTTTGATTACCTCATGTTGTCCACGAGTCCAAGCAAAGGCTTGCTTACGTAATCATTGAACTACTTGTGGCCTGCATAGGATTAAAAACACTTTATAAAAGTTGTCAGAATTGTCCTTAGCGTGTAAGGTATTTAAATGGATTGTTACGCAAACAATGTAACGCTGTAACGTACAATACAAACAAATGATTGTTTGCATTAGATGTATCCCTGACGTGTTATATACTAATAAATAGCACAGGTCACTGGGTAACTGTTTGATTCATCTATTTTTTTTTTCGACAGTATACATATTATCATCGCTTATAGTCGATCTGGAGTTATTTTTGTCCGTTTATAGCATTAATATATCGTTTGTTCGTTGAGCGTCCCATTTAGAACCGCTGTTGTTCTGATGTAGTGTACCTACACCTTTTAGATGTTGGTGGTAGCATAGCACTATGTGCGCGTTGTCGTATCGAACGGGACGTTGATACTTCGTATTTCGGTGACTGTTTTATCCGGAATTCATTTCCTTGAGCCACACTTACTCGATCGTAATTAAAACTAGCCAGTACACTTCCAATTAAGCATAATAATAATAATAATGGGCCCCACTTAAATCTAACTTTCCTTTAAGTTCCTTAATAGCCCCTGTACTGTAGGATGCTCAGTGCCCTCTTCTTCCCCCATATTCGTAAGCAGCCCGTGTAATAGCGCTGCTGTTACGATGCTCATGTATATTCAGGCTCTGAGTTTAAAAAACGGTAGAATACAAAATAAACAAGAGGCAATGAACACTTTGGAAGCGCATAAATTCTGAGAAGTTTTTAGACCAGCAATGACTCTAACTGTGGTAAATTTAAAAAATAGTTACTATAAATCGACCGTTGAATTGTCCAAATCCGTAAAATGACTAAGTTGTACAAACACACAACCCTAAATATGCTTTCTGTCTCGTAATTGTTAAACGTTTCTTGTTTATGGTTTGTATTTCTTTGAATTCTCGTCTTGTAGGGTGCCCACACATGATAAGAAATGCTATCTAATTCTGCTTATGGAAGGAACGACAGTTCTGCTTCTACTTAGCTGAGTATTTGCATTTTATAGCGCGTTTTACTTCAAATTTCGTTACTCGACGAATCCTAAATACTTAAAGCAAGCAACAATTCCGCGACATACGTTAAGATATCTGAGGCTGGCATCTTGATAAACCTTCTTCTCCTCTATTGGACACCATGAGTGGTTAACGAAGCGCTAAACAATGATGGGCTTAAGATTACAAATATATAATAGAACTTGGACTATTGTTTACTTGAAGTGTGAGATGCTCTTTGTTGGCTCATCTGAATATTGTTAGAGAAGAAATGAGCATCTGCGTACATTTACTTTTCGAGATGTACGTATAGTACATTATTTTCGTATCCACTAATTAGAAGTTAGCAAGTTATTTTATCTAAGGAGAGCTAAATTAATGCAAGAAGCTGAAAAATTATGTTTTTTCTTTTTTTAGTTATTTTGCTTCGGATTACTACCGTATGCGCCCTACAAAGTTCCGGCTGTAAATGACATCGACCTACTCCGGAGCTGGAATTATTCGACTATCATTTACAGTGCAGACACACGAAATTTCTAAAACTAATTTTGGCTCACATATGGTAGCTTGTTTGGGTTGTACAATGGAGATTCTACAAGAACGAAAGGGACGCCCACAATTTAGGAACAGATCGCATCATCTCAATGTAATTCACTTCGTTGAGTTGTAATTTACAAAGTGCATTTTCGAAGCAATGGAACGTTGTTTGCAAGTCTCGGCTAGCTTCGGAAGTACTTTAGCGAACGGCAATCGGCGCTCTTCATTGTTTACGGGAGAGTCATTACGCGTCATTCTGGGGAAAGAGAGAGAGAGCAAAAAAGTAGAAACTAAAAATAAAAGTCAGCGAACCTTAAGGCAAAATAAAATTGTAAATTGTCTTATTTACATTTAGCTGACAATGTTGACTCTATTGCATTATATTCTGGTTTTGAACGATTTTAGGTGTGAGGCTGGGTTTTCTAAGCGGCGTAAAAAAGAGCTTCATCGTCATGACAGGATCAAATGATGCCAAGATACCAGTAGAGGATCCTGGGATGGAGAAGCACGCACCCTATACAAAGACTGAGAAGCCAGAGGACTTTCTCTGCGGGGTCTTCTCGTGGCGACCTGAGTGGTTACAACAATTTATGAAGCCCATTTACTTCACATTCGTCTATCTACTCTTCGGCATATTTCAGGTGTAAATGATGACGAGGATGGAACGGTCAGACACATCGGCACAACATCCAGCCATAAAAATTGAAGAAATAATTAATTATTTTACTATTAATTAGAATCAAAAGATAACGAGAGTTGGGCCACAACTAGCCATTTATATTAAACTTAACAGCCAACTGAATTAAACGATGAGAAATTATGACCTATTTTGTAGCGTCCAGCAGGAATGCGACTGAGTGTAGAAACATGGTAAAGAAAAAGTAGACACCTTATATTATATAAAAGTATGTACCTTATACGTCCTGTCAATAGCATCATGTTAAAATGCAGATTTGTAATAGTATTTATATTGTACAGGGCGCGATGAAGACGGGCCTTAATTCATCAATGACTACTCTCGAACGGAAGTTTGGGATGTCGGGCACAATGATTTCAACCGTTTTAATTATGGACAATATCACTGGAACCATTGCCAGCCTTGTTATCGGTTACTATGCGACAAAGGTAAGTTTTATCTGAAAAAGTAATGCGCGAGAGCATCGTACTGTCCATTCCGACAATAACGGAATTCTTCTTCTGTATACCAACACATTCGAATTCAATGACCATATTTTCTCCATGTAATCGTACCCCAGAACAAACATATTCGACATATTCTGTAAATATGTAACTAAAAATAACTAAATAAAGCTTATCGCCCTTATAGGTTCGCTTTGATAGAGTATGATAGGTAAACAGTAAAACACTACAAAACAAGGCCTAATTGACGTGTCAATATGAAGAAACCTAATATAGGAAACGTTGTTTAGCGGTTACACTGAAAAAATATCAACAATAAAATGACTTATATACTTAATTAAGTGCAAACGATTACAAAATTAAGTTAGATATAATGTTCCATTTATTGCGAACAGGTATCCAGGCCACGCATTCTTGTATTTGGAGTCTGGCTATCGATTATGGCTTGTGTATTCTTTGTAGCCCCACATATTTTTTACGGTAGCCTCGACATAGAGTCAGAAGGGTAAGTAATTATAACAAGATTGATATTTTGATAATTGCTTGCTTACTTTCGTGGACTACTATATAACGTTAAGAGCATCTAGATTTAGCCGAACTGTGGTAACTTTTGTTTTTTTTTCTATGACAAAAAGAACAAGGCTTTTTGTCGTAGCAGGGATTCGCTATTGTCTGTGCAAGGAAAAATTAAACCGTTGCTTTAACGCAGCACAACAAATTTACCGTGGTACACAGTGCGCTGTTATCTGAATTTGAATCAAGGTTCTCCCAGTAGCAATCAGATTTTAAAGGCTCGGAAGTCCATCAAAACAATTCTAAAGCCATTTTTGTTTGCCTGAGTTTTTGATATATCTGAATGTAGGGTATCAAGGATCTATCAGGTCATCCAAATAGGCTTTTTGCACTTTTCGAACTTGTTAGCCATTTTGAACTTCTGTGTGCATTTCGGTGTACTATTAGCCCATAATATAGTTTCCCAATTTCTTCGAATGTAACGTATTTGAGTTTAGCCTACATATACTGTTATCGCCTTTTTAAATATAATTGTTCTCATCGCTCCCAGTCTATCTCTTTATTTAACTGTATTTGAGGCCAAGAAAATCGTTGCTTGATTACCTGTCTGGCCTGTGCTCGGTACCGGTTAACCGCAGTATAAAAAGAATGTTCGTTTGCCCTTCGTAGTAGTAGTAGCCGCGCCAACGCCTATCTCTTGCCCCACCTATCGCATGACAGTATGCGGAAGGTTGTAAGACCCTTTATACCGAGCTGCGTATTTTTCCCTGATATTGGTAAACGCCATCCATACCGTTAGCGTATGGCAAATTTTGCCACTTGAACCTTGAGGACAAGGCTCACTGTGCACAACTGTCTACAACAGCTATGCCAAGTCGGCATAGATAGCTTTGGAGTGTCCCAGAGATAACAGGAATATTTGAGGTCGTGGTTAAACTCCCCATAGGAATATACCTTTCAGTCGTACGTTGCGCGAATCTAAATATGGCGTCTCATTTCTTCTGCCACACACTCAAAACTATGCCTTCCCTGTTCTCTGCCGGGTGAAGATCCGTCTTCCCTTAACCTTTAGGTCTGCGGTTAGCATTGTGGCCGTATCCCTGCTAACTGTGCAGTATGCTTAAGCAATATCATAACCGCGGCGATGAGCGTCTTCGGTATGATCGAAACAAAGACCTTGAAAAGCGCCATTGCCCCCGCAACAACTATAGATATACCTCTCTTTGCTTGTCGACGAATGTGCACTTTTCACAGGATTCAAGCAAAATCCGTTGATCCATATTCTGGCTGCTTTTCCTATGAGTGTCCTAAGGTAACAGGGCCCATCCGTTGCGTGATTAAATTATACACTTAAGTATCTTAGCATTTTAACGAGCTGGACCCATGTCATACCGCGAATGAGCACAGCTTTTTCCGTTGCGAGTTACCAAGATCGTTTGACGTAAAAAAATTATCCGCAGACTAAAGTCATGCTCTGACCAGGTTAGGTTCCAAATTGAGGCTGGATATTAATTATACGATTTAAGTATAATTGTCAGGAACGACAGTTGCAAAGAATTTCTTTGAAACATGCAGTATTAAAGACAATTCACAAAAAAGGCCCGGTAAGAGATGCCCTACCTTGTTTATATATGGATGTATCCCTGCTTTGTAACATCATTGTTTAAAAACAGGGGAGTCGTGTTGCAAAATGGCAAACGTCATCGCGGTGCCTCAAGAAAAACAACGCAGCTATTTACCGAATTTTGCGATGCGCCAGATGAATCTGGCTGGCCATTGAACGACGCTACATCAACAAATGCATTCAACACATCACTCGGTGCCTCGACCGGCGGAGGCATAAATCTTAATAAGGCAAACAGACTATTGGCAAGACCAAGAAACCAAGAGGTTTCCGTGGCTATTCCGGTAGTCGTGCTTTTATCGATTGGTTAGTTCTACATCACCTAACGCGTTAACATGATTTAGCTGTACAGTTTTATGTTTGGCCTTCAACACATTCTTAGCGTAATAAAAATGTAATAGATAAGGATGAAAAATAAGAAAATAATTCGGCTTCTCGCGGTACGCTTTAGTTCGGAAACTCTGCACACAACAACAAGTGAGCTGTCTTCAGAACGTCTTTGCTAAATGTTATACGATCACTGTAAAAGATCTAGATTGTATTCATTCTCTAGATCCAGTAACAAAAATAAGCGAAAAATACTTTTTCCCACATTGGTCTTCTTTTAGTAACTTGAAACACGCTTTTCAAGTTCCTGTTTCATTCTATTGTTAAGGTAACATGCTCAACGGGATCGGAGGAGTATCGTTTTACATAGCAGGAACAACCTACATGGATGATAACGTCAAAAAGAAAAACTCACCCATATATTTCGGTATGAACCCGACTTCATTTACTATATGAGCGATACTTGTGTAGCTAAATTTACTTGGCAAACTATATAAGTAATTGCACTTGTTTAAAATTGTTTCAGCCGCAATTATGGCGCTTCGAATGCTCGGTCCGCTTCTTGGCGTTACGGTCAACTCGTATTTCCTCACCCTTTATGAACATCCGCTCAGTAAGATACGATTCTATGTGTTATCCAAGTTAAAAACGAATAACAAGACCCGTTTATATCGACACTTTTGAAAATGCCGTATTTCTATATGATCGATATGAAAAATTCACATCTCGCTAAAAACGCATAAATATCCTTTACTTTGTTATTTAGATTGTGTTATTTGCACCGTTGAAAAAATAGTGAGCAATCTGCACTGGCTATATAAAGCTATATGTATAACTAAGCTTGAAACTGCAAGAACTTGGCCTTTAGTTAGTTTTGTAGAAAGATCTGCCCGACGCTGACTTGATAAACTTTCCACGCCAAGCGCAATGACATCACATAATTAGGCCGATTATTCGTTTGTTTACAGTATCGCAACCTCTTTACTTCTGACTAATAAATCACACCATATAATTTTCTTCGGTTTAAAGGAGAAAAAAATATTATAATTATCTCAAAGACGTGACATTTATTTAAACTCTCGGCCATTCAACAACTTTTAAATATGTATATTCTCTCTACAACTTACAAGCCCGAATGGATTTTAGCCGCTACTACAGTGCGAGTTTGTATTTTATAACGTAATAATGCTTTGCGTCGTTTCATGCGTTTAGGCCCTCCGAGTGGTTTATCAACCCGTGATCCACGTTGGGTTGGTGCATGGTGGCTTCCATTCGCCGTGTGGGGCTCAGTGATGTCTGTAGTTTCGTTGCCCCTTATCCTGTTTCCTAAACACATGCGGAGGCGAGCTGCAGATATTCGACGATACCCCGAACAAAACCAAGCGGCCACTGGGTGTGTTAATAAACCACCCCCCAAATCGCTTACTAATAAGTTTAAGAGAGATTTTGAGGCGAGTGTCCTTTAGATCTAAACGTTTAACTGTCTTCCATCAGTAAACTATCTTGTCATGGCCGAAATGGAGACTAGGAAAGGCGCTACTAATGAACAAAAACATATTAATATGTACATATCATTATCAGGTGCACGGAGGATACTCAATGAAGTTCCGACAGGCAAAAATGAGTTAAAAACAAAAGCGCAACTAGAGATCGCTTGCTCCATAGTCCTCACACTACGCTATACATTTTATCCCTGAAACTTTGCAAACTCTCATTGTTTGAAGTTTGTTACATAAGTTCAACATCATGTTATTTCAACGTCTGCAGGATTTCTGTTTAGCTGTAAAGCGTCTATCGAAGAACCCCGTTTACATGTGGAAAATCATCGGTTACATATTCATCCTAAATGGTCTCGGTGGCTACATGATGAACTTGCCAAAGTACATTGAACATCAGTATCGAGTATCGCCTGCGAAAGCTAGTTTTCTTACAGGTGAGCGCGCGAATAAAGAAAAACGCTAGATAGATATGCATCGTTAGGCAAGGCTAGGATTCTATTGAAACAACGTTTGTTTCTAATACTGTTTCATTAACAAAACAAGCGAATATAATTCATCATTAAGTAGAACTACAGTATTGCTCAACTAAGTTTTTGAAGATTGATCATTGTATGCTCCGACGTACGTTGTTTGCTCATCTTGCACACAGCTGACCTGGGTGACTCTTCTTATCATCTTTACAAGTAGCTCAGTTTAATAAGTGCGCCTGCGAGGATTGTCACTGGATTAGTGAGTCCGGCGTCACGTATCTAACTTTACAAGGACCATCTGTGCACGTTAATATTCACTTGAAATTCCTTCAACGATGACTGACTGCAATGAATAGTACGAACAGTTGAATTGGGTACTTCTATGACCTAGCTTTAACGGTATCCTTCTTTTTTGGTTGTTAAGTTACCCCTGACAAGAAAATGTATTTATAGATGTAATATTATGGTTAATTAATTAAGCTAATAGGAAATGTCACAAGAAAAGGAAGACGTGTGAAAAACGTCACCATTTTTTGCGGATCGTCTATGTTGTTCTTTATTGTGACTGACCAAACTGATGTTTAAGTGCCTGTTTGCTACAAACTAAAGGTGTGCAATATGCTAACACGTACGGCATGACATGTTCGACCGTAAACGTTGGCCACATCTTCCATAGCGTCTTTCAGGTGTTATCAGGTGGGGAGTTAGAAAACCGCTGTAAACCGCTGGTTGGCAATAAACCATTAAGTTACTGAAAGCAATGTATGAACATGTTCGCCAAAGTAAGCATGGAAGAAAATTGTGTCGACTTTGAAAAACGTTCATCTTGATGTGCCTACAACGTTCTTAACGACAGGTTTGTTAGCATTAAGCTAATACGCGCGAAATAAATCGTTTCGATCGAGGATTACGTACGTATCATTAACGTATGTCCGCGGCGTTATCCTCACATGTCGGTAAATAACGAACTAACAAGAAAAGTTAGCCTAACTAGGAACATTTGTAAGGCCGGTACTGAACATCTATCATTATGGTTATTAATATTACTATTGTCGATGCAGGCCCATAGTGTAAGTTAAGCCTACCGTTGTTTCAGGTTCGACAAAGGTGCTTGCAATGATTATTGCTATAATGGTTGGTGGTATAGGGATACGTGCTTTACGGCCGTCAGCCCGCATTGTGTGCTCATTTGCGGTGTTCGCCGATATCGTTTACATAATCGTATTGGTCATCGCCATCTTCTTACCGTGTAATGGATGGAAGCTATCTGGAACAGAAACGGCCCCGGATGGAAGGTAGACATATTCCAATATTGTTGGGCTCATTTAACTTGATTGTACTAAGACTGACTTCTATAAACAGAGTTTTTTTTTTACAACAGGTATATCAGTGGTATCAAACGCTAGTAGTACTAATCCTTTCGACGAACCTGATGTTACTTTACAATGTAAGCCGGTAAACCTTGGTTGAGCGCTAACGTATTTAACAATATTTAAAGTTCTACATTAAATTGCTCGTAGAATAAGTACTCTGCTGTAGAATATTGTAACGTAATATACCGTACTTACTCATAAAATGGGTACTCTTATAGTAATACCACGCCAGGCTTAGTTGATGAAGTGGATAAAAATACGAAAAAAGAAAAGAGCACGATGTAGGGAGCATTGAAAAGCCAGTACCATATTCATAAATATTTTAGTGGACTGAAGCAGTTTAAATCGCATTACGATGCTCGTTCTTGCTAGCCGGAATGAACTTCATGCACACGCTGGACGCAGATGGTCCAGAAGATGCTGGACAGTTTTGCTTCTTGCTTTATAGTCAAAAGAAGTATCGATGAGACCCACAGTGTGTTTGGTAGCGCGATTTGGGTTCCTAAGATTTCGAACAGGGCATTTCTAGCTATAATAAGATAGCACAGTGATTGGAACTACCACAGCCAACGTAAAAGAAAACCTTATGAAGATTTATTTTCTATAAAGATAAGATAAGAGGTAATTCACTTGCTGTGTTTATTACCATCATTGAACTACGACTTAGGCACATATACGTATGCACCTATTATATAACCTTTTGGTTTCATTTGATTTTTCCTGATTATGTAGGCTGCTGGGCATTATTCCGATACGTGCAGATCTATGATACGATGTGCAATCAGTAGACGACCTCTATCTAGAGGTGAAGATTAACGTACGCGTGATTGTTTTCCTGTCTGAGACTAAGAGCAGATGCAATTTTAACCATTAACGGTAGATACTCCGATTTCGACACACACACATATGCATTTGCCCCCACACCATAAGTGCACACTGATGGGAATTTTAGGGAGAATATTAGACTTCGCTTACATGACACAATAATCCTTCATTTAATACTAATATGGCAGCATCGTGAAATGTTGCATATGGCGTTGCATTGAGTATTTTCTACTTTCACGGAAACTGATCATGCTGAACCGTGCGAAAGAGCCGTTCAGTCAGAACAACGTCCAAAGCGGTGAGCTGACGAAGCGTTATTTATAAATGTTTGCGCACAACATCGAATAGAACCGCTCTAAAGTATGATGCAATGTTATTAACAGCGATACCGCCATTTATCCAGCGATGTTTTCTGCTGTACGCCTATCGAAGTTTGTTCACAATACTTTCGCCGGTTCGACGTTTATCACTTCGTCGCCAGACGCATCGTGTCTCCTTTTAAGTTTTAAGAAAGTTATTAATATACTTCATCAAAACTTTGGTGAACTCCCACTATTATTAAATTAATAACAGTCAAGTTTGAAATTATTCAAACGGAATTACTAAAAGCCAGATTGAGTCACGTTTGCCCGGAGAGAAAAATGTGAAGAGAGGATATTACGAACAGCGAAGTTGCCTTCTCATAACCTCGTCCCACACAGGTTACCGACATTTTGTAGTTAGCTTGTCTATATCTAAGCTATAATATATGAGATACATTGACATGTGACCAAGGTAGTCAAGTATATAGAAAGGCGATATTTGCGATGCGGTATATCACATATAAGGCTAGGTAAGTTGATTGAAATATTGAAGTATTGAAATACCAAGAAAGAAGCACCTTAATAGCTTAGCTGGAGCATAAGCTGGTGTAGTTGTTCTGGCTTGACCTCTTCGTATCCTTTGATAAACCCTACGAAATTTGGGTAGTTGAAAAAACCCTAAACGTAATTGTTTTCTAAAGAAATTCCAGTTTTTAAGCTAACTTCTCTTGTCTCACTGGATTTAATCAGATTTCAGCCTGCTAAAAGCTCTATAATACAATTATGTTTTCGGTAGGCGAGATACACAAGGTCTAAAAGTCTGAGAAGTGTGAATACTATAGGTCGCTGAGCTAGCTATTTGTTGCTATGATTCACCCGCACTTGTAGATTGGATAAGCTACATTATGTAATATGTCAGTGTTTCGTATCAAACTGGCGAAGTTCTGGCTAACCCATTTGAGAATATGGGTCGCAATTGTTAAATGAAGCGTACCGTAAGCTTTTTCCATAGATAGGGTATATGGTTGATACGTATATAAAGATACAGTAGTAAAGTGTTTGTCTACTTAACTCAGAGACCACTACTACGGTGGACTAGGTGGTGTAGGTTGGAAATCAAATGTAAACGTAGTTAGTTCTCTGTTGGAACTTAGCTGTGTCTGGCTTGATGACGCAAAACTTGAAACAATCATATATTTTCATAGGTACGGATGGTAACCAAAATCAAGTTTTTCATTGACCGACCTTTTGCTAGCGTCTTCGTGCTAGCTGCCGAATCATTTATGTCACAGCACCAAAATGTGGGGCAGGCTGCAGGGTTGTCTGCACGGACCCCCACAAATGATCAACATATACAGAGCGGCTGGTCCCTTATGAAACATTTTGACCTATCTTTTCGTCGTAGATTTTTTTCACAAGAGTGTAAACCTCCCACCCGCGGCAGCTTAGAGTATGGCTATTTTGATTCGACAGCAGGGAACAATGTATTAGCTATATCATCACTATGGACATTTTAATGTACTACCAAGGAGAATAATTAGCCTTCATTGGACACAAAGACTGTGTGGTACATATTTGCTACTTCAGAGAGCGTCGAGTTAGTATAAAGGTGTTCCGCCATGATTTGTTGTAGTCTCTTAAGTGACCCATTCTTTTTAAGTTTAAATAATTGTATTGAGCTTTGCACCGATACCACACGTTAGAAGATCATGAAGAATTCCAACTGTTTTATTGGCTTTCTAAATAAGCCTCTAGGAAAATTAATAATTATCTTTAAGTAACATCCGACGAATCGTAACAATCCGAGTTGTCAAAGATCATGCTAGGAACATTGACAACTGAGTCATAATTTTACGTTAAATTAGTTTCGGTCCAATTGGGGACCGCAAGTTTTTAGAAAGGCGTGTAGCAACCGAAATCTATTAGGGCCAGAATAGTAAATATAACCGGGTCGTTTATTTAGTAGAACTAATTGCAGAATGTTATGAGTGGGAATTTATTGCTATGATATGCCGTATTGTTGCACAGTAAAGAAATGAATCGGAAGAGCTATTTTGTATAACCCAGTCGTTTAAGCAGTCCTCAAAGGTTATTCATTAGAAAGTCGATACCATTGGTATATGCCGACGTGATCACTGCGTAGCTTTCAAAGGCAAATTGCGACACACCACACAACGGGAGAACTTTACAGAAATTGAAGATTGGTCCTGAACGTAGGTTAATAATAGAGTCCTTTCACTTATAGGTTCAACGTCCAAAAAAGCGCTACCTGATGACTTATTGAAGATTGGACATTGATTCAGTATCGAACTAAATTCAGCCCATAAATTTATAAGTTTTCCCCATTTCCTATATTATAGAAAAGGCTTTGTTCGGTACTTGCGGTTATTGACCAAATCATTGTGTAGTAGATACTGAAAAGTGCTTGGAGGATCCGATACCCGTGAACTGAGGTGTGACTTCAGATTGTACGTCTCATGCGTGTGTAGACTGCTATTGATTCAGTTGCCTGATTTCGCATCCGTTTCAACTGCCGTAGTACTTGAGACTCTCAATCTGCTATATCAATCAATCACTTAACGATTAGACTGCGGCAATGACCCGCATACACAGAGGCACAGTGTACAAAGAGGACTTAGCTCGTGCTTAAATTAGGCTCTATACTACGAAAATGTTTACGTTCACAGTCTTGCCGTAATTATGTGCGTATGAGTAACGCGATATAAATAAAGTTTGCTGTATAAAAGCAGGTGAATTATGGCCAGACAATGAACCATCGCCGTTGTTCTGATGCGCTGCCTTCTACGGCTATCTCCCAGTTTCTTTGCATCATAATGGCTGTTTACTGGGTCTGATTCGACATTCCATAAAGTTAGTGAAATGCCTCCCTCAGGATTGGATCTTATACGCAGATACGACAGGAAAAAATGCATATTAGACGGACGAAGAATATAGGATGGTTTTTTTTTTTACTTTATTAAAAAAAGTACTCTATACGCTTTACCTACCTACTGCTGAATTTAAATAGCCGTTTGGTTTATAATTACTATATGTAAAATAATTCAACGGCTTGGCGCAATTTCGTGATGGAAGGAGCTCTGCCACATTGAGCCGAAAACGTATTCACTAGTGTCTAGTGCTGGTCTACCCTGCCATCAAATTTGATATCAAAAGTGGAAAGGAATACACAAATCTTCTCGGGTAGATTATCGGGCTGCAAAACGGTTCGTCGTACGAGACAGTTTAAATACACGAGTAAATAGAAAAAGCAATTATGCTACACGGTGTTCCTTATCGTATAATGGGCCCTTCAGTCAGGTGTACTAACAAAGCCAGCCCCTATTCAAGCCTTAACAAAATGTACATCTTTACAAAAACCTGCTGGTATAAACAATAAGTAACTTGCATATTGTGGTATTTGTATATATTTAGCTTGCTTTTAGAGTGCCGTAGAGCTTAATGAACTAATACGAGTCAAATTTAACAGTGAACGTTTGAGTCGTTGTCGTGTTAACTGTCAGCCATATGCTGGCCTATTTTTGTTCATGTTACAGTCTTTCGTTGATAACCGTATGTAATGTCAGGTGCCGATGCGGCAATCAGTTCCAGCCTTTCTGCGATGTTGCTACAAGTAGATCGTACTTTTCGCCATGTTTAGCTGCCTGTACGGGAAACAACGTAAGAAATTGAATCTAACATTCATATATAAACAGTACTCGTTGAGATACACACTCGATATAGCATATTGTTTGGCTTTAAATTAGGAATTTTCTCCAATTTAATTAGATTAGAAAGACGCCTTTATTAATAAGCATTTGCTTCACAGATAACTGAAGCGTTTCTTGATATTTACATAAAAACATAGTAATTGATATCGCATAAAAGAGTTCGGAAAGAAGACTAGATTAATAAATACACCGGCCTATGTGCCTTTTCGACGGGTCCAGTTCCCGCAACGGCTTTAGGACTATTGGCTACCAGCAAACGTTAACGCTTTATCGTCCTGTTGCTAACCGTGCGTCACTGTACGGTAGCCTCTTCGATGCGGATAGTAGCAGAGATTCGTATGCTATTTTTTCTAGTTCGAGTAGTGTCATAGCACTAAATCTCTTCTAGAATCAAATTAAATGGCGCGTCCTTTAATAGCTCTACTATGAGCATTTGTCGTATTCTAACGTCTCGACGGGTACAAGCGACAGGCGTGTGCGTTTGCTGCTAACTTACGCAGCCGCACCAAGAAGATCGATACACGTATAAACAAATTTCGATAATCGGATGATAAAAACCTAGTTGTCAACGATTTTTAGATTTACGCCATTAATTTATCAGCTGATCATGCTTTTGTGTGTCTGTTACTTCTGTTCGGTACCTCAGAGGATGGCTGTGCTGTTTCGTCTTCGTTATTAGTTGGCGCGCATTTGCTCATAGAACACGTAGTGCGGAATAACGTGCTGTATATTAACGTTTTCTACTATTCTAATGTACCGGTAACTTTTCTCGTGGCGTTGAAAAAAAAACAAGTGGATCTTGTGACTTGAATGGAAGCAGTAATGTTCCGTTGTCTCGTTGAGCTCTGCCGTGTTCTAAAGGTGGAGATAGTTTACAGCTTTACTGACCATGCAAGTTGAAAAGCTAGATTCTAGCGACACTGGTAATTCAGCACAAAAAGCCTATTATTTGGTAGACCTACCCAAAGAATCGCTTTGACCTTTTTCCTGCCAGACGTTGAACCGACAAATTATTCTTCTGTTTTTATCGTTGTTACCAGGCCGGAGATTCGATTGTCGTTTTGCACTGGCCTCTTCTTGTTTGAAGCACAACATCGACGTTAGGTTTACGTGTACCAACAACAGCTTGGCTTCTAGTTTTTCTAGAGGGTTCGTGCATTGTTAGAAGTATTTCTATACGTTAGAGGTAAAACAGTCTGAACCAGCCACGCTCTGCACGATCAGTTACGTTAAGCTTAGTATAATGTTACTTTGCAGTATAACTATAAAACGTGTACGCTTAGTACAACGAATCGAATCTCAATCTTTTTTTGTCGCTTGTTGTCCCATCAGCTGACAAACATGGACTGTTCGTGTCTCGAAGATCAACCAATAGAAGATGACTCATTTTGGCCTCGAAGAAGGGACGCCAAACTGTTGCTCGACCCACTCAGGCGTTTTGTATCAGGTTTCTGTCCTAATGATTGCAGCAATCTGATGGTCTTTATCGCAGTCACCACTGGGGCCAAATTTATTTCGACGCTGCCTCGCGTTGGAAGTATGCTTGTCAGCTTGCGGTTAGTAAACTGTCATTGTATATATAATACACATATGGTATAAGAGGTGTATGAAAATCGAAATTATATACTTTAATTGCTCTCGTTTTTCGTTCCTGAGTAGCACTTTACGGAAACCGTCCTACTCCGATTACTTTCAATGTCTTTCATTACTCAAATGGTCCTGCCGTCTGTCAAGTCCAGCTTTAAAGGGTGACTCGCTTTTTGCATTTGTATAACTGGCTATACGAGAGCAAAGAGTTTTCCGGTCACAGGCTTTAGAATTATCGTACTATATACGGGCCGAATTTATTTTACTATGGACTCTAACTTTTCATTTAATAAGCAGTTAAAGGTTCAGTTTTAATGTTTATCCTTCTGACGCTAGAATTTTGATCTCATATGAATAGGCTAAACATATTTATCTTAGTCTCCTATCTTCTCCATCTTTACAATTGTTGTAACCGTACATGTTGTGTGTCACTATAATAATGTTGCTTGGAGATTCGTGGGATTAGCACTACGAAACAGGTGATCATTAGGCCTTGCAGATGGCCTAGGTCCCAGCTGCATTATCATCTAATCTAACCTGTGTGCTCTTCTCAGCCAAAAACTGTATCAGTTTACGTATTCTCTACCTATGGGTCATCCCCTGCTTTGAGATGAAGTGACCAAAGTCTAAATATCCTTAGGTTGTCACAGTGATGATAGGATCAATAGCATTTAAAAGTAAGCCTGTCTTTTACTTCAGATGCGTAGACCCGGCTGATAAAGCCCTTGCCATCGGTTTTACCAGCTTCGTGCTTAATATTCTCGGTAAGTTATGTTCAATAGACTTTTTATGTTGGCAAAACTAATGGTTAGAACTATAATGCTCGTAGCAGCTTTCGCGAGTGTGTGTTGTAGATTCTGTGATGGTCTTTTTGTTTCGTCGCATGATCATCCGGGATTTTTTCGCGCTATTAGCAAATTCATTGAATATTTCCTAAACGTGCTTTGTTTATTTCCTAAAATGGAAGCACATTTAACGGACGAGTTGTTTGCTATGATACATGATATGAAGGGATTATACAAGCTTTGTAGCAGCCCAGGGTTTAGGCCTTATAGTGGTCCTAATATTTGTGATATTTGAAGTTTGCTATCTTGGTGTGAGTCGGTATTGCTGCTCTCTGAGTATGCGTTAGTAAAGTATATTTATGAAGCATGACCGCTTGTTAATAGGTGTGCTTTGAGGGTTCACACTAACATTATTCCTTTAATTCCCTTGATTTCTGAGGACACGTGATGCTTTTCGATGACTTACGGAATTACTTTACATAGAGAATCTTACGCTTTTATACTTATCAGTAACATCGCGACAATGTTGCCAAGTGATGAATTACTTATTTACTATAAACCTCTGCTCTAAAGATGTTTGCTTTAGTGGAAGACGTGAAGCAGCGTCTTTCGGATAAGCTGAAGTAGCCAGTTATTGCTTATTTGTCTAAATATTGGTGCTATATTGGTGCTGTCGTTATTCGAATGTATGACAGTATTTGTCCTTCGTGGTTAGCCCGTGCAATCCTCTCGGGCCGTATAAACGTAAAATTATCCCTGACATATCACCGGACGAAATATACGTACACATGGTAGAAGCAACTGTCAGTCAATTGAGAAAAGAGTGGGTCGAAAATAGTTTTAGCTCTTCGATAACGAAAAGATGTGCAGAAAAATTCGAAATAATACTGAATACCCAGGACTTATACGAACCTGCATAGTGTACAAACAACGCTAAACAGCGCAATCATCTTTATATTGCAAAAGTGAAAACATAACTAGTTAAGTTGTTTACCGTAACCCGATAGATTGGTAAAGTCATTCTGTTGAGAGTTCTCAGATGGGTTAGATTTACATACAAACATATGAGGATAAATAATCGAGCTTATGTTAAGTGAGCAAAGAAGAAGCTACTTCGTTTGTTAAGGTGACTATTGTTTCATTTTATTGTTATTCTTTTTTTATACGGATCATCTCCTCTGTGGGCCCTCACGACAAAATCATACGGAATAGATGTGTGACTTTTGTACTCTTTCACAAAAAGTTTAATTGAACGCTAGCAATGGGTTTAACGTAAGGTGTATTAGTATTTCTAGACGGTTCACTATGCCTAAAATAGCCGAATAGTTTATCCTAAAGAAGGAAACCTTCTTTGGTGGTATCGGAATAATGCCAAGCATTCTGGCGCACACATTTATTCATGAATTATCATTTTATGACAACCGTCCAGTTTCTTCAGCCGAAGCAGGCCTGCGAGCCGTATCTCTAATTGCCGTAAAAGCCGTAATCTCAATGCGGGTTATCAACAAACGTAAATGGGTCGTGACGCATAAACCTATAAGCAATATTGTGTTCAATTGGTTAAGGCATAACTGGTTAACCTAGAAAAATAGTTGGCCCAATATTACTGTTACCAGTAACGTTATCTTACGACGCGCTGTTTAGGACTGCTGGTCCTTTCCCTAGCTTCCTGGAATTCCCGTACCTTCACCCGACATGACACGTTTTGCTGCTTACCTGCATAAAGTACAACTTGTATGTTTTCTTAGTATCCAAATGTGCTTACTCGCCTAGCTGTCACGTGGGTAGTGCAGAGGTGATGGTGACTGATCGACGACATGGCTGTCATGGACAGACTGCATTTTATTGAAGTATCAACGAACGACATATCATTACGTTTGCCATGCAATGGCACATTGAATCATATCGGGATTTTCATTATTCCAGCTTACGTGCCTTACCCGTTAATATACGGGTATTTGATCGATTCCACCTGTTTGGTCTGGGGTACTCGTGGAGACCGGCAAGGCAATTGCTGGTATTATGACAATAACACCCTACGAAATCTCTACTTGGGCGCTACAATCGTCTTCTACTTCGTCGGTACCATTTGCATGATTATGATGGCATACTACGCTAAGAACATAACAGGAATGTATGGCGATGAGGAAGAAGGGAACGCCAAACTGGGCGGAGCATACTTAAATCAGGATGCTGTATCAGCTAATATCCAAACTAGAGTAAGAATTACTGTCACTGGTCATACTCAGCTGAAGAGCAAAAAAACAAATGAGAACTACAAACTGACTCCGGATAATGACGACGCGGATGAAAGGCAGAAAATGCTGTCGAGTTGACAACAAGTTAATAATCTATCTTTATGAGCTTGTCGTCAACTTGATGAACTTGAATTCAATTTAGTGTTTCCGTTATGAATGGTGGTCACTTTCATTGTTTACCGTACCTACCGTAAGAGTTATGACGGCCTGTGATTAACATACAAATAAAATGCACGAATCGCTAAAATAATGCATAGTTTCCAAAAGGGACCATGCGTAAATTTTTAGTATAGCAGATTTGACCACGGTCGCCCTAAGGGATATATTATTCCGTTGTAAGCATATTTTTCGTGCATGGATAACTTAGCATTTTACGTCACGAATCAAATAGCTAGCTATTTCATTCGTGACGATTCGTGACGAAAGTTTAAACTTTCTGTGTAATACCAATAACTACTAGAAATCACGGACATATATTAACTGAATCGACCAAAACATTAACTAACGCGTAGTCTGCTGAAATTTACAAAAAAAGATTTAATGCTACCAGATCTAGTTCGCAGTATATTTCTATAACATAATATTGTATATTCTTATACATCTGTAGTAACATTCTCTAGAGGCGAGACTTGTTTTTCAGGCAGTTAGCTGTTGGTATGACTCAAATTGAAGCTTTTACGAAACGTTCGTCATTTTTGATAATGGTACCGAAACAAGATTTAGTGATTCCGGTTTTATTTATTCTGTTTCGTTCTGTTATTGTTAACCGAGGCAACCTAATATGTAGCAGATAGTGAAGACATGAAGAATGGCATTATTATTATTATTGAGCATCTAATTAGTGATTAACGCATCATAATGAAGCCCTCCAAAGTTGCAATAGTGTTGATAAGATACGGAACGCTTCATTGTCGCTACGCGGTTCATTTACGTTATCTCTAACCGTGGAAATGATATTACATCTGAGTAAGAATATCAGAATTCGCAATACTAGAATAAGTAAAGACTTATTAATTTTTCAATATTTGATTTCTTTTGAGAAACGTGACAAAAAATGTTGCTTTTCCATGAAAAATAATGTAATGATTTTCTTTATCAACGATTATTTTACTAGTATCGTCGTCTACAACTAGGACACTGAGAGTCTCACCACAGCACCGTATTTTACTCTTATTGACCGTGTCTCTGGGGTTCCAACTTTCGCAAACTGATTATTAAGTTAAAAAGGATTTTGACAATTATCTCTACAGTACTCTCTCTCACATAAATTGCTACTTAAACGTTTGGGTGCTAGGTTATTTTCTAGAGAAGGACGGTTCTTCTTATATATTTGGGAACCGCATTTTCCCTTGCCCACCCTTTCCGTAAGAACATTTAACGCAAATAGTTACCTGTCTAAACAAATGTAGGCGATTCACATGCACTGGTATATATGTATAATACGGTTATGGTAAAGTTTGGTAATGAAGTACGTTGAAATTTGCCCCATCTCCATCCACGAAGAAATCTGTTGCCATGGTTGGGGTCTGCTTGGCAGAATGTTGGACTAGTAACAATATTGTAGAAGGGTATTGTAATGGAGGTTTTAGAACTAACGAATGCTGACAGCAAAGCACACGATTTTCAATGATGTTGATGCTTACAAAAGTTTCACTTAATTTCCGTCCTTAACCAAGCTTGTAACACGTGAGGTTTCAGTCTCAGAAGAACATTACCGCCTTCTCTTAAGGATGAATGGCTCTCTCATTTGAAGCTTAAATTTTTACTTCAGCTTACGAGGCAAGACTTCATATTCTTTGGCATCGAGCAGACAATCTTTGCTAATTACTGAACACTCGTGCTGGTGATGGATTAAGAAACTTCCCACAGGTGTAACGATTTTTAAAAAAATCAATTTCATATTTTTAGAGAAATGTTTTACAAAAGAGATGTGTTACAAGAATTTTTACAACTCTATATTCACATCGGGAAGAAAATTGTTTATGGGCCGCCATCCTTAAAATTTCAAATAAACGAAGCATCATTATTCGTTTAAGAACGCTATATATGTATATATAGCTTTTTTTAGCTAGATATTGTTTTATTTGAAATTTTTTTTTTTTTTTTTTTTTTTAGGAGTAGTAAGATCATGCTTACCTAAAATTAGAACAATAGATATTTAGTATTTAATATTCAATTTTCAATCCAAAGTGCATCTCCGTCAGTTATTGATTTCATTTAAATTTTCCGAGTTTTCAATTAAAGAGACTTTGGATTTAGATGAACCATTAGTGCGACACCTGATGTATTATTACATGCTATAAACAAAAACAGGACTACCTATTAATATATGAACGACAGTATCTTAGATAGGTAAGTTGTCATTCAAAATTTAATTCATTAGAGTATTTATGTTAGATCGATATGTATGTGTAAACTATGCGGGATATCAAAAAAAATAAATAGCGGGCTTTTTGGAGGTGATCGATCTTACACTATCGGAGATACAATAATTATATGTCTTAAGAAGTAGTTGTCCGAATAGTTTATATTTAGAACATGAAAAATAAATACAGTATTTTCTGTGTATATATGAACGACTATACGATATAACGATAAGGGCTTCTGTGCCATTATCTTGTTACCTGGAGGACATAAATACTCTCGAGACCTTTGGCCCTCGGCCATGTGCTTAATATAAGGATATTAGAAGAAATTCGCTTTAGATGTATACTCTGTTTTAAAAAGCTTAGATAAGGAACTGTCATAATAATAACTTAGTGTTGAACGTACAAAATGATTAACTTTTTTGCAGCGGCCATTCCATATCCGCTTATCTACGGAGGCATTTTCGACTCAGCTTGCCTCTTATGGGGGAATCGGGACGGACGAAGAGGTACACGATTAGTTTTGTACATAGGATTTAGGAACAGTTCGCAACATGTCTAACGCGATTTATATAGCGGAATACTGTCAGCGGCATTTAGCATATGTTGTATATATATATATATATATGTATATATACAATGTATGTAGAATGCATTCGATGTAACTTTCCAAAAAATTGACGTTTATATTGAATGTCTTATTACAGAGCATTTACTGTTTCACACACACAACGATAACTTGATTGTAGGGAATAGGGTGTATAAATCGACTAAATACCTAGAATAGTACCTCTTTATTAAATGTTACTTGTGCCACTCGTATATACAAATCAAAATTTTAATCATATTGGGCTCAGTGATAACGACCATGTTACGCCTTCCCTGCGCATATAGCTAATTTTCTAAGTATTTAACTTTTCTTTTATATAGGTAATTGTTGGTTTTACGAAAACGACACTTTACGACGGCGTTTTTTGGGAGTGACTCTATTCTTCTACAGCGTCGGTGCTGGTGCTATGGCCATGATGGCCTACTACGCGAAAGAAGTTGGGGATATCTGCGAAGACGATGACGGCGACACCGATCAAATAGAACTGAAGAAATCTGTAGATCAACAAACACATGTTCAACATCCCAACGGTAATGACAGCAAAAAGATAATTCCTGATAAAAATTCCTGTGCTTCGTTAGGTGATGCTGTAGAGGGTATTCCTTGGATAGACGAATCTGATCTTGCAATGAAGGGCACTCAACCGCCTGTGTATAATTTTGCGAAGAAGTAATTGTTTTAAAAAATGATGACAAATCGATGTGATCCGTCACAACAGCCGATTTTCGCGGAACAACTAGCGGAAGTGAGTCGCAAATGCTTTCCGCTCACTGGCAGAATCAATGGCAAAAAAATGTTTAAAATCGGCTTAATGGCAATGGCAAAAGAGATGAAAATCGTTGTATTTTTTTTGCCCTCCGTTACATGATTTTCCATTTTTTTTAGATTGTTTCTGTTCTTGCCTCGTGAGTGTGATCTTAGCTGAAAGCTGTTGGTGGAATTCGCGTGAGCCATACGGTACTTTTTTTTTTCTTCACTTGTCAAAGTTCTTATTCAGGGCTGATGATACTTGGATCTGTGGATATAAACGACTAGAAGTTATGGCTGATGCAAATTCCGTAGAAAATGCGTATCCGCCGTAGGGTCTTAATACAGATACCCATAGGAATATATATATAGGTGTTGGTGCGAGGTGTCCAGTATCAAGCCATTTTTTATGGATCAAATGATTGATGGAGCACCACTTAGAGGCAAGAGGCTACTCCGTTGCGATGATCTATGTTCGAAGAGATGTTTACTAAAAACTTTATCTAATTTTTTCGCAATCTCCGTATGTGAGATCGTTGACGTCCTGTGCAAATGTGGCAGGATTTATCTAGCGATTGATCCTCTTTGTCCATATTCATTTTCGGCAGATTTTCTCATTCACCATATATCGTTCGCGTATGATGAATAACACAGTGTAAATTCACAATACAGACTATATAAACCCCATTCAAAGTATACCATAATTACTGGCTATCGGTGAGAGTATGTACCTATCAAAAATGATGCTGTTGATCTTTGTCTATTTTTGAAAGCCCTGGCTGTTCATTTTCCTTGAATGGTAAATGTACAGGATAAAATTGAACTTTATTTCTGTAATGTTCGTTTGTCTGGAGTGTTTGCAGTATAGATCACACGATGCATTTATAGTATGTACATAGTTTTTATCTTAAACATCGGAGAATAATTTGAAAAAAAGAAATCTAACTATGTTAAGCGGTGTCTGTATCATCCATATCTTTGCCAAAGGCTCCCAAAAATCACACTCATATCTAGCGAGTACAGATTCTTAACAACCACGCTTGGAGGAGCTCAGCTTAGAAGCAAGTAAAAGTTTCGGATATTGTTCTATTGATTAAGTGCCGGTATCAAAGGAAATATGTACTTCTGAACTAGCTGGTTTCTCACAGCAGAATGAATAAAAGTACTCAAATATGGGTGATACTGATGCGCATCATCTGATTTCAGTAAATATAAATCGTTTCAAACCGTGAACGCAGAAAATGTTTGTCTAATACGCTTCGTGGAAAAGAATAGAATAATAGCTTTTCCTGCCTTAAGGTAACAGCGTATATTCAAGGAATGAGCATCTGTCATTGCACTCAATCGTTGTATGGAACACACAATAGAGTCTACGTTGATTTATTTTGCAATCGAACCTGGATTTTCGGTGAGTATAAGACAAATATCAAACAAGAACAAGATGTTCACGAACCGTGGTCCTGTTCAAATAATAGTTGCCGTTTGAAAGGTTTACATTACCACTTTAATACAGATTCAACTTACCCAGGACGCTAGATACGAAGGGTGGGTTAAAGGATTCTACTATAAGTCGTTTCTTATGATATACGAACGTTTCTTTTTAGTGCTGCTAGTTATAGTAGCCGTTCATATATATGCCTCGAGATTGTGCAGCAGCTCGCAACGTGCTCATTTGGGAAGGAAGATGACGCAAAATCTACTTGGGCATACGCGACCAAAGCCAGGTCTTGCAAAGTATCATCACTAATAGCCGATTTAAAGCGTTGAGCAAAACAGATATCGTGACAAGTTTATTGTTCCTTCATTCATTGCTTAGTGTTGAAAAGAACACTTGAGGACGTCTGGCTGCTGAGGTCTACAAGACTCACATGAAACCACGTAGAGTTGAACGTTGCGCGGGGCCGACTATGTCCTAGTATCGCTTAGCTTGGCTGGCTTACAGCCTTCCGGGCGGCGTGTTTGATCCAGTATAATTATACCTTAAATGATAGCATTCAGTCGAATACAAAGTAGCAGAATTGACGACAATTCAAATTGTTTACGCACAACAATGCAAACGTATCGTCAATTGGGCTCCGCTTTTACGAGACAAAGCTTCAACTTTAGAGATTAAGAGGGGTTAAGAATTCAAAATAGTTTCAGCCATTTCACAAACGAATTATGCCTGCTATATCTTGCAAACGCTGGAATTAAGCAAATCGAATATTGCTATCGGCTTCAAGGAAAGAAAACTTTCTATTTTCATTGTCAATACATCCTGAAAACAGCGAAGGCAACAACTGTGCCGTAATGAATTAGTCCAATAGTTGGCTAACAAAGCTGTCTTTGTTAAATGGACGAGTCACGAAAACACAAGCAGATGATGAACAACACAAACATGGACTACAAGGACAAACGGCCACCCTAAATCTCACAACGGAAATAATATGTCCTACTCGGTTGTTACAATATAGAGCTGCTGAAGGTGGGACTATTAATAGGCTATTATTTAGATATTAAATTATTCTACGGCCAGCTTATGCTGACAATTCTTTGCTTACGTCACGAACACAGATTTTTTCGTACATAATGCGAAAAAACTATACGCGGACTCCACAGCCGTTACAGGGCTGTTACATATGGTGTGGGTGATGATGAGTAGATAAAGTAAGCAGAGTTAGTCGGGCCTTAAACCATAACACGTTTAGCTAATGCAAAATCCAACAAATAGAGACAACGATAAAATTTTTTCTTTACAACATATTGTACTCTTTTTTCTTTTTTCTCATATTATTATATTACTGTGTTAATATACTCAACCTCTATGTTTCGAGTTTTATGTCCAGTATCGCTGTTAGGCATAGCTCCATCATACGGCTAGCTCCCAGCATGACACAAGGTCTGTCTATGCCTAGGTTGAACCAAGACCACAACGTGTCCCTGAGATTAACAGGCAAATCCGCTATCCGCTAGGCTATCACGGACATTTAACCAACCTATATATCGCCCTCATTTCATACACACGTGCAAACATTCCCTGTTTCAATTTTTGTGTATAGGCGTATGTTGCCCTAATTCATTTTCCGCATTGCCAGGTTCCTATTGCATTCAAAGCTGCACTGCTGGCTTCGTCCACGTAAGATCATTTTCGTAACCCACTAAACAACTGTTTCTAATCATGTAGCGAGTGCATAGAGTATTAGACCGCACCTAACCACCGATCGTAGAAAATCGCCGCAGCGACTTACCATGGGCTTCTGCGTATACGAACAACCTGTGTGAACAAAGTAGGATTTTTTGTTTACACCTGTATATATTTAGTTTTAGGATGGAAAAACATAACCTGGTAATGTACAGACTAGAACAGGTTAACTGTTATTATCTATACCTAGTACGCTAATTAACACAGCGTGGCTTTGTCTAAAAAAATACGGATCTGCCCTAAAGACAGAGATTCAGTGAAATCTGGTTGTTATAATAATAACAAAATAGAAAATTGTGACGAACTGCTGCGCGGATGAAACCACAAGCAGATGGATATGCTAAATAATCCCATAGCCATGCAGTCGCAAATACAGTACAGACCACGCCAGAGTTGAGAAAAGATAGCGGGGGTAGGTGGCTCAATAAAGGAAGCTACAGGGAAAAACATTTAGCCGAGACGAATACTGTAGATAAGCGAACGTGAGATAGTACCGATCACTTGAGACACAAACAGTTTAGAATAAAATAGGTATGCGACCGGAACACACAGCAAACTCAGTGTTTGTTGCGTATGATGGCAATGTGAATAGTTTGTTAAGAGTAAAAGATGAGCAGATCATGCAGAGAGCTCATTTCAATATCTTTTTGCCTTCTCCGATCTTAAACGAGATCATTTTCACTTCCGTTTGACTCGACCTGGCAATCCGGCCAAGGCTGCAGTCTGATCGTTGTGAAGCTTCCTAGGAATATTCGAAACCTAAATGCTTTGAACATATGTTTCAGGTATCTTTTTGATCTATATAGTGTTGTATTTTCTGATGCTTCATGTTCTTAAATTGGACAGATGAATAAGAAGCGATATGCAATTCTATGAGGTGTATTTATTTCATACGTTAGGTGTATTACTTAGTATGTCACATAGGGCATAAATGACGTTACCTGTAGGGATGAATATATTGTACTTGAGCAAAACTAACTAGCATTAGGTGACTACTCCTTATTTGCGTATATACAAATATATAGCACCATTTTAAAGGTCTTACGGGCTTTGTCTCTTGGTATTATATATTTTTACCTTATAGTTGAGATAAAAGCACATATAGGAACGAAATTTGTTCTTAAATAAAATATTCTACCTTGGCCGACCCTCGCCTACGAGTGCCTTATAGCTTCCGGTTTTAGAAACTCTTCAAAGACTGCTACGAAAGCCATGGGATGCGCATTTTTGGCCTCATAGCTACGTATCGCGTAAAAGTGTTCCTCCGATTGGCATTGGTAGCATTTTTTCTTCTGTTGGGAAATACCTATTTCTCCCTCGTTAGCTCTCGGGCGCCCTGATATCCCAGGTTATTTTCCATAAGCAAGTTCACATACCCTGCATCATTTGCGCCTGTATCTCTAGTGGGTTTCAGGTTATGCCTTCGTTTGCGTTTTTATACCTCGTTACACGTTTTTTGCTCATCCCCAACTTTGGAAAGAGCACCTTTACACCTTATTTCATGCGCAGGTTTGTATCCTCAGCTTTCAGGTTTCAGCTTACTCTATCGTTATCGCGCTTCTCGATTTGTTAATTTTGAAGGACGATTGAATATAAGCTACAAACGTGAAAGTGAAATGGGTACACCACGTGTATTAATTGAAGATGAGTTGATTTTTGCAAATGTATTGTATTTTATATAAGTTACAACAGTCCATTGTACCGGATCTCTATTTTCCCTCGAAACTCTAATAACTGAGTGGCTTTCAGGATTTTTTTTAAACCTCAGGTTTGTTACGGGAACGGCTATGTGAATTCGTTCGTAAATCGTATGAAGCTTTTACTGATGTCATCGACGTTGTATACTCAATGTTGTTTTAAACTACAGTGCACATTTGAAAAGAATCTATGCTTTTACATGGGGTCGGTAATAGTAGTATTGATTGGCCGACCTTTCTTCAACGTCAGTCGGGTACGCCTATGGCAGGTTTCATTACGGGATTTTTTTCTGGAAGATCGTGTTGATCACTATGGTCTGTATATATCGAAAAATCGTTGAAAGCTGACAAACGGCAAATATATTCTATATGGCGTAACTAGAAATAGGGCTTTTTTTTTATGGGGTAATAATAGTGTTTATTTTTGAGAAAAATGATATTTTAGTTTCACTATATTGGGCTCTTTACAGCGTAAGCCTGATTTCGGATGTCGGAGAAGCGATAATTTCAGCTCCTCTACCACGCATACTTTCATACGTTCATCAATACACGGCTAAATAATGTTGATTATTCGTCCTCTTGGATGTGTGCCTTCTGCGGTCCTGGTAGTATTGATGTGATTGGTAGACAAGCCTTTGATGTGCACATTTCTAGGCCTTCACATGTAGATCCGTCCGGATAGCGATACACGTGTGTCTGTAATTTTTATTTGTTTAGATGTTTCTGTTAGTCATGTTGGGTCATATGGGCAAACAATGGATTTCTACTGGAAGCAATAGAAAAACGAATGCGGAAAACTCTAGTGCCAAGTCCGGACGCAACTTCGCAACCTGATCGTAATTTGCACTTGAGCTACCTTCAAGCGCTCGCGTTGTTCACTTAATCAATAAAGGATCGAGTTGAATATAAATGCGGCGTACATATTTCTTTTAGTGTTTGCGGTCCAAATTAGATGCCAGAGCCTGTTGTCAGATGTGACACCGGGGAATACTTTGGCAAGCTTAAGAAATTTTCCGATGACATTTACGTTGTTGTACGCCTATACACAATTGACGAAGACAAGTCGAAGTCTAGGCAAGGAAATCGCCGGCTTTTAGAATTGAGAATTAAATCCCTGGCTGGCAAAGGCTAACACATAATTCTTTCTCTATTTCTAGTTGAAACCGGCTGAACGACTGAGCGAATCTAGAATTCATAACAGCCACGCCAATATACGTGGATAGATCTCACCTCCTATGAAGACAAAATAAAGCAAGCCAATAAAAAAATAAGAGAGTAAGAATTTTGTTGCGTAAACAATATGACCGGACCGTTCGTCTGCTTAATTTACACACACACACATGATTTATGGCGGGCGCCCAGCAGACCTCGGTGGATTCGCAATGCTCTTCCACATTCGCCTCGGCAATGTGATATTTTTGCTACAATTTTGACACAGTAACACATTTATGTTGGCTTTTATGACCGAGATCCATCTAATGTTCGAGGTGCTTATGATCATTTTCTATTGATAGGGGTTATGCAAATGGTTTCGGACCGTCGAGTGATTAGACGTCACCCCTTTTAACTGAGCAGCATAGCGTTTTCAACGCCCAGGAGTGTGTAAACCCGCCCGGAGCAGTGTAACGTTCCACTACTTTAAAGACAATATGCATACCGTCAAAGGTAAACATATTTATCTCGAATTTTCATCTAAAGTCAAATGATGGTACGCAGGACTCCGACCAAATGTGATTGCATACCAGGAGTCTTGAGGAACTAAATTCAAATTTTTTGCATCAACTCAATAATCACGTGGAAGGGCTGAGGAAGATAAATTTCGGCCAAATTTAGCTGTAGATACAGTTGCAAAAATGTATCATTTAACTAAGTGGATAAATTTACGGAAAATGTAAAACGTTGATATCAGTTAGTGCACTTTACCAGGTATGAATGTCAAAATGAATGCTAAAAATCGACCTAAAGCATTGAGAAGCCGCGAAACCTTTCCAGGATCTATAGGCCAAAATAGGCATACTTTCTTATTCACAACGAAGCAGACGAAAGAAAAGACTACTAACCGAGCAAGTATTACATCCGTCGAATCGGGAACGCTGGTCATACGGAAAATTGTCTATATGTTCGCCGCGTTTGCATCCGACTAGGCAGGGTTTAGCCATAATGGCCTCGCTGTCGTTTGGACAAGCGTATGTAGAGCGAACCGTAACGCTTGCATTATTTCTAGCTGATAGTCCATCTAAAGAGAGTCAACAGAAAATCCTCATGTATTGTTATCTGGGAATATAATGAGTTGCAATGTTGCGTACCGCAGATAAAGCTAACTAATTATACGTATACGTGCTCGCAATGGTTCACTCCGCCCAACGAGAAAAGGGTAACTTTTCCCGTGAGGAATATGACAGTTCGCCTCCTCAGCAACGATATTCAAGTGTGGAAAGTTTATTGCTTTGTACCGCATTAGCATTTGCGGCAGTCAAAACAAGGGAACGTATATTTGCTACTAGTTTCTAGCCCTCTAAATTTTTTCGAAGGTCAGCTGTTGTCGAGGGCAATTTTCTGACATGAGTATGACTAAGCGATAGATAATCTAAATACTGGGTACGAATCTGACGTAACTTATGTTTAGTTTTTATGAAATTAGCCTGAAGGTTTTTACTAATGTTTGTCAGACTTGTCCACGGACGTTTACCCGCTAGTCAGGACCAAATAATAAAGCGTTTTATGAAATTGAAGAATGGATTGTTAAAACTAGTACTAGTAGCACTACGTGTTGACTTACAAGCGATTACGAATGAGTCCGGTAGTTAAGTTAATGCAGGCATCCTTAGCTGTCAGAATGAACTGTACCAGCGCCTCTCAGAACGTTGTGCGCGTGCTCGTCTCTGTCGTCGTAATTATTGCGAAAGGTACATATAGTTTTTTTTTATAGGCATGCGATTCATGTAGTCGTAGAAGTATATAGAATGCCGCATCATTTTTGCTTTGGTCATGTAAACGACGGTAAGAGATCCTTTCGAAATGAAAGAAACGCGGCTTGTAAGCGCCAAAAATTCGTTAATTCTGCGAATAGACATGTGCCGTACCACTAGCATATTAGGCCAGTATTCGATACGAAGGTGGCTTATTTAACAGCGAGCTCATGGCTAAGACGTCTGTCTGTTAACGTAGGTGACAATTTAGTCGGATATCGATTGGTAAGTGTAAGCTGTGCTAACTTGATAGGCTTAATTTACCCTTTACTTCAACACTATAAATTTACAGAATTCTTACAATTGAAGCTACACTGTTGACCAGAGGGAGTCATTGACGAAAGGACCTATATTTATCGTGTGCAAATGGACGACGATTAACCTATATATAAAACGAAATCCCAACTTGATGATTTCTTCTGTGCTACTAAGGGTGTCACTAACCTGTTTTTTCGTCTTCAGCTTCGTCTCCCTGAGTCCCGCTTGCTAGCAGAACGATAATGAGGGCAAACCGAACATCGACTCTAATGAGAAGGTTAAATCGAGACATACTATCCTCGTTCAGGGCTGCCACAGGAGCACTCACGTATTTACGTTTTGGAGACTCGCTTTTAACAAAACCGTTATATACTTTGTGCTATAACGTTCCTATCTGAAATTAGGAGACCATGTTAAATATTAGAAGTGCACAAACTTTCCAATTGGTATATCTGTCTCCGTTGCTGTACATAGTTCGAATGAAAGCTCTTCTTGTATAAAAGTTATAATAAGTATGTATAACTTTATATATAGTAATTGCACGTCTTCGTAGCATCTTTTCATTTGCTAAAAATACACATAGTACAATGCAGTATTTGTTCTCACAGTAACACAGTAGACGTTTTGTGGCAAACGTGCTATAGAAATACCCCGTTTTGTAAGCATGACAAATTCTATGAGCCCACAAATAAAATGGTATTTCGACGATATTTGCTTTGGCAAGATTATCGTTAGGATGCATACCTCTTTAAATTGGTATACCAGGCCGTGTTTGACATGATAAACCACCCACACTCCCGCCTACCTTAAACACTGCGTCTTTTTGAAATTCGGGACCTCTCAATTTTTAAAGATTCTACTGGTTTAGGAACGAGCTGCCTGAGAGAGTAGCGTTTTCAATCAATTTTAGATTTCAATCGTCGTGCGATATCAAGTTTACGCTTAGCGATAACTAGCAATACGCCAACATCATGTAGATGACGTCACCGAGTTTCTTTCGACCAAAAAGGACCTTTTTCAATCCGATATAAGTTGGATGGGCATGTGGTGAATTACGTAGACATAACGCTATAGTACTAAGCCAAACTCCTGAGCTTTTGTTTTCATAATTTCGCGGCACAACGTAAACCATTGTCAACTCTACACAACAGTTTTGTGATAGAGGACATTTTGCAGAGCACCATTTCATAGAAGGGTAGGTTTCAGCTGGAGCTGTGAATCTCCGAAAAAACTTATATTAAAAGAAAAAAGTTATATAACTTAAAAAGAGATGAAAATTAAATCTTAACGTAGTTGAAGAATAGGGGGTTTAAACACTATTGACGTTAGACAGGAGGTTGTTCCTCGATTAGGTGAGAAAAACCTGTTGAATTTGTCAAAAATGACGTAAATACAGAACTGTAAGAAACATTACTGCTTCTTTGATCAACAACTCTGTTTTGTCTGTCCTTTTCTTTGTTTTTTTTTTTAATAAGACTAAAAGGCGACAAACGGTGGACGTTTTTCATCACCGTTTGGTGATATTTAGAGGAAGACGTTGTTTGGCGATCTTGTTTTGTAAGTAGCTTATATACATCATAACCCACACACAGATCACCGAATTTAGCTCCGTGTAAACCTCTGTGAAATAGGAACGGTCATAAAACAAATTACGAACAGCGAGTTCGTATCTTTGTGAATTCTAAGATAGCCTTTGAGGTTTTCTGACGGCGTTTACCGTGCAAGAAGATTTTACTCTTCTTACATTCAGTCAAATTACGCATTATTTGATAGCCCAGTTAAAATTCCCAATAACGGTTTTGAAAAACTATACGTGTGCTTAGAACAGTTGAAGCTGCCGTTGGATATGGCCATCAATGATCAGTCGATAAGTATGAAAAAAACAATAGATAAACAATTTGTCATTATAATTATTATTAGTGTCGGACTAATACAGTGCATATTTCCTATGAGGCAGCCAGTGTATAGGGAGTAATACAAATTCAGAGTCCAATTCGTATTTCAACTTTACTATTTAGCGGATAGGTTTTGCTTTGAAGTCCGTTGTATAACCCCATATGGCAACTTATGCCCTTAGGCTACCATAACTACAGCCGATATAGGCCTAGAAAAAGTCAAAATCACTTATACTTCAAATAAGGCTTTCGTGAAGGCATTCTTTCGGAAGATGTAGACTTGGTGCGAAAGGGTAAGTTTTAGACCAATTTCTTAAACGCAACTTGACGATGATCCGAAAAATGGCTTAGTAGTTGTCCAAAATCTAGATAAGTGTTGCTGGTTGTTTGAGCGCTACATAAAAGAAGTAACATCAGTGAATAGAATACGAAATCTCTATTGATGTAAATGCCTGCTTGAGGCTATGTTGTCAACGAAAAGTTAGAGGGAAGAATAGGTTATTGGGTAGATATTTCAATGCACCAAGGTCCAGTCGTCCCACACCCTCTTGATTCCAAGGCATCGTACCCCATCGGCAGTGACTGTTTGTAAGTACGTCATTTTTATAAATTAAAATTGTCTTCCAGTTTTGGCATTAGATTATGATATTAAATGGAAAAAATGTGTTTTTTTTTCAGCTTTACACAGATAAGTAAGATTCGTTAAACAAACATCGTAAAGGTTTTGTTTGCATGATATGGCCTGTAGTTGTCAGATGGCCCATTGGTCCTAGCCGTTACAAAGCAAATCATTGGAGCTACTGCTGAAACGACAATTCAGATATGCAATTTAATTTTTTAAACTTCACAATTTGTAATAAATATGTCTGTGACTGTTTTTAGCTTGCTACAGCAATAGTATTTGCTTTTTAAAATGATCTTTTCCTTCGTCTGAACTAATCATCTGGTCTAAATCACTTAGTTATGAAGTACTCTCGCATATAACTTGAGAGTTGGTTTATAATTATCGGAATAAAAATGGTTACACAGAATTTTTTTGTTATAATGCTTTTGATTACCATAGGTTAGTACTCTTTTCCTTTTAGCAGCTCACCAAATGCCATTCACTGGCCTTGTTCAATATTGATATTACCACGTTAATTCTAATTTTGATTGATTATGATAATAGCAATTTAACAATATTTTTCTCACACTAACAAGTGCAAGCCTACTTACATCTAACTTGGAATAGTTTTGCGTTCGTATCTGTACACAGTGACTCTTTCAATATTAGCTATATGTTATGAGACGACGTTTCAGTTAAGTAGTAAGTTTGAAAAGCTAAAAATGGTACGATGTAGTATAAAAACTTCCTTATTGCGAGGTACTGCGACCGTGTCTCGAGCTAACTTCGACCAAAATGGAATTAACTTGGTGAAACAGGAAGGTAAATTCGATCTGCCGTTGGGTCATCATCTCTACTTCAAGTAAAGTTGCATGTAACATCGCCGCTAGAAATCGATGAAAAAAAAACATTTCCAGGACTTTGAAAACTCTCTCGGCATTTTTACCAGGAAAAACTGCTTATTATATAATTGTGAGTTTCTATCCCGGTGGACTTAAAAGGTCACCAGCTAAGCAGGTAGATATATATATATATATATATAGATCAAGTGATAGTTCATCTTAATCACTGGTTTATCTACGGGTGAAAAGTTACGAGAATGTATGCTGTTTTATTTTGTTTAGATTGAGAATTCAATTGATTGTCCCCTTTACAATTTATGTGCCAAAAGTGAACTTCTACAGGTCGCTGTCTCAGTCGATGTGTACTTTGTAGCCATAAGGTCAACTGTATAGAGCTACTCTATTTTGAGCCCGTATTTACGTTGCCAATTGCCGCATGGCGTGGTAACGCCATCGTAATGTTTACCGTATCAAGCAGGTTCTCGGCTAGACAAAAAAAAACGTTACCAAAAACAACAACGAATCCGTTTCAGAGGCCACTTTGACAGATCGGATCGTAGCATCGGTCGCAAGCAACTTCGTAGCGCTGGTAACTCACCTGGACGATGAGATTCGAAGCATCAAGAAATTTACTCGTCGTCCTGCCACTACTGCAATTGTTGTTCTTTGTCGTGTTCTCTGCCCACAACTGTGCGCACCATTAAGCACCGTCAACGAAACTTCGCACTATCTCCGTCACTGCGAAGCGGTGGTCCTTGTGCGATTATGAACCTGCTGTAAGCAGGAGTAGACAGGTATGCCAGAGCCGTTACTAGCTACGTCGCTTATATCGGTGTCTTCGAAGAAATAGCCGATATTTTGATGCTTCCACACATCTGCTGCTATAATTCCTGCTTCCTATTGCTGCGAGCTTGTTTAGGTGAATGACTCACATAGGTGTAGTCGTTACTGGTAGCGATCCATAGAGCGAGAACTGGCGTTGGTACTAGCCCACGTGTGGGTAACAAATAGCTATGCGGTGGCGGCAGCAATCGGACTCCGGATTCTGGAAAGAGTCAAAAGAGACTCGAGACCCCTTCGACTGTCGACAACGAAAGTGTCGGCCCTCGTGCCCAATGTGTGATGATGACCGTCGAGACGACAAGCACAATTACACGATGAGCTTTGTTATCTGCTTTCATTGAATTGCCATACGATTGGCTTTATACGAGTGTTATCACCAGTAATACACGTTAGTCGACTATTCTATCCGGATGATGGTTGTTACACTACGAGTGACGATGTAGGTACGCGTCGGTAGCCAGACTGTCATGTTATGCCGTGTTTACACCGTGTAATAGTAACGTAGATTATGACTAGCTCCGCAATCGTCGTTCTTGGTTTTTCGCGTTGAACTCATTCAAGCTTTCGCCTCGTTCGTTTATCGTTGACGCATTCTGGCAGATTATTTTGATTACGAAATCGCTCAAAATCGTAGCTTACTCTACGATTGCGAATTGAACACCGAACGAATCAAATACTGTTTTGTTCAGCTGATCGGCGAAGCGAAACGGATATTGTCCCTGTCGGGTCAAAGGTGGCAACTGCTCTTGAGAAGCGGGAAAATGGTTAACTGAATGGGGATATAGGTACGGTAGCAGAGCGGCTACCTTTAACGAACGCTAGCAAAGCTTTCCCTTACCAATGGCTCATGGACTTAACCCTTCCCCTATGGGCTTTTAAGTATGCTACAACCTAATCTATCAGTTATGATATCAATATAGTATTAATAATCTCAGCCATTCGGTATACGGTTCAGATAAAGCCAATTTTGGTTTGGAAAGAATTGCTTTACATGAGTCACAGGGTGGCGGCCCGCATCGGCCTTCTCAAAAGGTTCCGATATTGATTATGACCAATTTAAGAGGGCTATCGATTAGATTTAAAGAACTTGCTTAAGATAGTATCTGATTGTACGACTCTCAACAAATATGTTATTATTCAATTTAGTAAGCATCAAGTTATAAACTCTTTCGAAGATTTACGTATGTCATTACAGCATCTTCAAAGCGTTTGCAAATTATTTTCTAAGCAGGTAAGTTGGTTGAGGCCCTCACATTAAACGCAATCCTTCTGCTCGTAGCAATAACGATAAAGGATATAGCAGTTATTAGCCGAAGTTATTTTTGTAAAAGCGGTTAGAAAAAAGTATTTTTTTAAAAAAAAAGATACTATTATTGATTAGTGTGAGCTGCGTAGCGTGTGTATGGCTTTATTCGTTTATGTATTTGATTTGTTGGGTCTGGCTGAGCGCAAACTCATCACAGCGCATACACTTAATAGCCAGAACAACTACAGATGCGGAATGGAGTGTTTATAAAAATAACCTATCAATAGAATGGATGATACAGACAGTCGAAAATGCCTCTTTGAAGCGACCATTGGCAAAAGGTATTCAATTTAGTGATACGAGATATGTGAGTAAACAAGATATTATCAGATGACTAGAATGGACGGGAATGCTTTTATAAGCTAACCAGTGTTCTTTACGTTGGTGTCTCTAGGCTTTAAACAACTACCTTTGGGAATGTGTTGTCTAACGAAGTTAACGGGCTCATCTTTCTCCCGTTTGGTGCTCTCAATACACGGAATTGGCAAAGTAGCTAGATCAAGAGGATTCTATTAACGACATCTTAGGCCACTTTAGAAGCGTTACATTAAGCGCTCGTTTGCGTGATGGTTTTTGTAATCTTATATACCCAGTGATACATTCCTCAACAGATAATCGGATATAATCTGCTTCTAATTTACAATCAGGATGAAGTGGTGTCCGTTAAACGATGTTTGCCCACAAGAGACGCGGGCCATGGGTTATCATTCGGTTATCAGCAGACATTTTCGTAAACGCTAGCCTTCGCGCAACGATCGCACTGCGAATCGAACCTGGTAAGTTTTCTTTTTTTCTTTTTGGGCTTTCTTCTACGCATATGCCCTGTTCCCTAAACTCTCGTATTATCGTTATTACGGTAATACCAGGGTTCAACAATGATGTGCATTAACATGGCATTTTCTTGGTGCGTAACACGACGGGATTCCATTGAAAGATTTCCATCTCTGCAGAAAACGAATGTAGCGGTAACTTGTGCTTAGAAACATATGAGGTGCGAAAATATTTACTATTGGCCTAAATCGCTATGCACAATTAGATCTCAAGTGACCTCAATGAGGCATTTCACTGCGTTCCTCGGCACTTCTGCCAATCAGGCTAAATGGCTGGCTTCTGAGTTATAGTCCTTTTCCTGGTGTGATTGATTACGATGCACCGAATGACTATAGTTGCATGGCTTTACCAAAGACGATACATTCTGGCTCGAAATCGCTGGGTTTGCAATGTATCACAGATGAACGTGCAGGAAAAATGTCGAGTTTAAAAATAACTATTTTTTTTTTCGTTATCCTTTATATCTCGTGTCACAAGTCATGTAGCATATAGATGCGTTGTGATGAGAGGTGAGAATGGAAATTGATAAGGTAAGGGAATACGAGGGGATTCGAGCTCCTAGTATTTAATTCATGTGGGAGCCTCGAACGCTACGAACAATTCGCGTTTTTTTTTGACCGCGTAGCGAAACTCAAGCGAACCGACATAATAACACTCCTCCTTCCGCCAGCGATCTTTGATCGCACGCACGAATTGGTAGTCTAAAATGTTTTTCTCTTGTTATATTGCCTTTTGTTTATCACTGGTCCGCTTCATAATACCCTTCTCTTGCGTTGCTGATGTTGTCGCGATCGCCGCTGTTCCCGCAGCAAATAGCAGATATCGAAGACGACAAGATCCATCTAAACATTATCGCACCAGAGAAATGCCGTCACTCCTACAGTTTGTGATAACTCGATAACCTGTTCCTGATTAGATCTGGCGAAGAAGACATCACCTCAAACATCGCACGCGTACCGAAACCATATTAGCGATAGATTGAAGGAAGTCGGGAGAGCTGTGAACGATTAAAACTAAACTCAATAAAATTAATGTGCGTTGTCAGCTTTCCGTTGGACATTCGATTAATTACTGTTGAGCCGGATTGAGTTGGGTATCAGTAGCACCTGGCACTGCACCAGAATGTTCCCAAAATCAGATGACCAGCGCGAGGCTGTCGCCCGATTGTAAGGGCTGTTACTACCCTATGTAGAATTTAGGTTTCGTTCCAGATACTGGGTGCAAGATGAGAGCAATTCGCTGCTAACGTCGAGTTAGAACTTTCTGAGAACAAACGAATTGTTGGGTCGGTAAATTATAAAGCCTTCAAGTTCGTCATGTCTGAGAACCTCCACACGGCTCCTCGTGCTTTTCACATGCAAACAGCTAGCTACTCAGAGTAGATTAAGGGAGGTACATGTGCTAGGTCACCCTTTACTGTTTAATACTTGCGAGCCAGTGTTTTGTGTGGTATCGCTGTGGCCCATCTCTCAGTTTTGACTTCAGCTTATTCAAACCCATTTCTTAAATCCCACGAATTTGATTCTAAAAGTCATTTGGCGCTCTTCAACAGCGCTCTAGCCAACAGCTATGATGGCTAGAGCATCTTATATAACAATAACTGGTTAAGGTTGCTCAGGGTAGGTAAACAAAGATCAAATTTGGTTAGCTGTCTAAAAGTAATTATGCTCTGGCTCCCTAGGCCGCACCTAGTCGCATTAGACTCGCTTCGCGTGTAACCCTGTAGTCATAAGGTTTTTGAGTGATTCTGTCTCTTAGAGTTACCAATTTTTCGTTCATCACATTGAAATTTGTTCATAATAAGACGCTGTAGCTGGTACAGACTACACATAATAAACAAATAGATAAAAAAAATATTTACTCATGTAAGTTTATTCGCGTATGATATTATGATTTTTCATCTGCGCGAAGGAGCTATGCTACGCAACTACTTTAGCCTCTTTAAAGTGACTAAGCATATATATAAGTTATTAATGTAAACTTGTGGTTTTGATATATATAGATTAACTTAAGTAAAAATAGAGCGAATTGAAATGTTGAGTGTAAATAAATAACGAACCATGATAAATTCCTCTCTAAATCAAGGCTCTATATTTCAGCAGTGCGGCCAGAGAGTAATTCCCTCACATACTTTTCCTTAGGTTTCCAGTGTTTAGGTGCGATGAATGGGGGCGTTTTCGCTTGCCCCTTAATAAAGAAATACTAGCCCCGTAGAAGCCGCTGACATGAAAAATGCATGCAGAGGATTTGATACAGTATGTATATATATATAATGTCATATACCTACAGAATGTCATGCGTTTACCTAGCTGTAACTGCGTTTACAGTTCAGCGAAAGCAAAGTTGACAATAAAACGCTTAAAATCCGTGGGCCGTAGAAGTTTATCCATTTCAAGTTTGTTCAATAATTGTAGGTAATTAATGCTGGACGCATTTTGTCGTATATTTTATACGTACACGTTCCCCATTCTAAAACAGCTTACCCACCAGGAAATTAAGGAGTAGCAGAAAATACGTGGTAACTAACAGCAAACAGTACGATGTCTAGTAATGATGAACAGTAACAATTTATTTCGCAGTTGGTCAATGCATTGTGACACCTACTAGATATAACGGGCTAAGTTGTCGCTGAGAAATTCCCACCGAGTTAGTTTAACGACTGGACGGTGTTGGTTCCAACTTCCCTCTAGATTGAATTTCCAAGCAACATTAGAATTTTCGTTGGTTACTAATTGCTACAATGTGATATATCAAACACTGAGTAGTGTTTTAACTTCAACTGACCGCTCTCTCAAGTATTCGTTTTTTACATTATTTATAATTTGTATACCATAAGATGTTTTAAATTTCTAAAAATCCCTTCGTGCTTTGCTACAAGTTGTCGTTGCGGCATCGAACTTACATTTTGCACTGAATATCATTATTGTCTTTCCAGGGCTTCTGCTTACTTATTTTATGTCACCCTCGTTTATTAGTACATTTACTTCTGGCATTTTTTTTCCGCTGCTATTAAAACCAATATTGAAACGTGAAGCAAAAAGAATGGGGCAGAGTCGTTACCGAAAGAATAATCTCAAGGGTGCCCGGTGCATCTACGAAACGGCACATAAACGCCTAGAGATGATATTAACACTGAACAAATGGCTCAGGAATAACAGAGCAAAACGTAATAGACTTAATTAGTAGGCAATTGCTATCCGATAGAAGTAAACAGGTACTATCTTGCTCCATTCGTTCATTTCAATAACAAATCGCGTTGGTTATACTGATGCAATAACAATATCGATTTTTATTAGCACATGATTTTTTAAGTTGGTCACTTTTCTTATTCATGATCATTTATTTACATCTTGACCTGACAAATTGTCAAATGTATAGCACACATAATGAAGTAGGAGGAAACAATCGGCCAATTCACGGGCGAGGTAAGTCGTTCTGCGACTGTCAGCAGCGTAGTTGAGACTACATCGGCCTCACCACCTCGCGTACCAGCAAGTGTCAACCGTATCTTAGTTTAGGGTCTCGGAGATGTTCTTGCTTTTACGCAAAGATCTGTATCACTTTTCATTGAAATATTTACCTTGCTTAAGAGTATCTGCCGTAAACCATTTTTGACCTACATAAACTTACGATCAGGACAAACTGCACAAGACGATGAAAGACAAAGAGGTGAAAAAAGCTATTGACAGGGGGTACTGTTAAGAGGATCGGTAGCAATGTTGCCAGCAGGTCTGTAGAGAGTGAGCGTGTCCCTATTGATACACATGTACCATATGTGTGTGAATATAAAAGCTCTTCTACCCCTACATACATGTTCCAGTTATAAAATACTGTCTTTTTATCTATAATAGCATTTAACGCATATAAGAGTAAGTACAATTATATGTATTGAACGTTTAGTTCTGCCTCGTATGGACGGCATCTGTACGGTATTTGTTAGATTAAATATTTAGTGCAGGGACCTTGGACCCTTACGAAGCTAGGGTCATGTATTATATCGCCTTTAACAGCAATTGTGAGGTAAGTTCGAGGGTAAAAGAAAAGAAAAACGAACAATTGAGAAGTAAAGTCTTCACCGTATGTATCGCGATAGCCTTGCTACTGACCAAAGCTAGAATCATAATAGGTGTTGACTCCTATTAAGCGATTAATAGCGTGGCTTGATATGATTAAACAAGCCACAGACCCCATACTAAAACTGGTTTATCAATCTTCTGGAATCGACAAACAAAAGAACGAAGGCGACCCTCTTGAGGTCAAGGTCTAATAGCAAAAACAGTACTACTCCAAGATGAAAAACGTAAAAATATTCGGCGTGTCTGGGCTCGACAACGAAGACCTTGGTGACACCATAAAGATATAACAGCGCTACTCAGTAAGCTTGGTGTTAGCTCAAAGGCAGCGGTAATACGCTGAATCAATAAATCGAAAGACGCTGGTAGAAAGCTTTCAAAATGATCACAATCGGTGCTATTAAAATCATCGATCTTGGTCTGCCACGATTTAACGATAGCGCACAACTGTTGTTGAAGTAAAGAGACATTTATGTCCACTCTCAGGTGTGCTGCCGGAGAATGCGAACTACATAAGGGAAAAGATAAGATGGCTTTTGTACCAAATTAATAACGGGAAATTTGATTGTTGAAATAAGAAAAGATCCCATATCACAGTCTGGTTCCGTGATTTTAAAAATGATTTCATCAAATTGAAGAACGATTTCATAGAGAGCAGCTTGCCGAAGGCCGCGGCATCTTCTGCAGCGCTATACAAGCCTTGAGGCTCTGGTAAAAAAAGCAATTTTTATTCGCAAGCCCGCAAAAATCGCCAATAGAGAAACTCTTCAAAGTATAGATCTAAAAAAATACAAACGAGGAGTTATAACAAAAACAGAAAAAAAGATTGAAGTGTCGTTGCCTAATGAATGAGCAACGAGAATGCTATTATATACTAGTAAATGAAATAGTTAAAAAATTCGACTAACAAGTAAATAAAAAAAAAAAAACGAAATAATCATAAATGTAAAATAGAAAATCACTACATAACTATATGTTTAGAGCAACAGCTTGATCGAGATTATTTGAAAAAATATATATATAATCAATTTGGGTAGCCAAATAAAAATGGACACCAATATAGTGCACAAAGAGAAACATACGATACACGCTTGCACATTTTTTTTTGTGCACATTTATTGGGGGAGGTTGAACTTTTAAACTAGGGTTTCATTTCAATCTATCGGAATGAGATCTGAATTGTAGTAGAGAAAACCGAGTTATATCCGATAAAAGGCTACCGTTTACTTTGTTGTCGTTTAACGAAGAACAGAGCTAGAGGAACAGCATTATATATAAAGAATAATCTACATATTGTAAGGGTTACTAGTAGGGAAATCAGTATAGCGAACGGCAAGGGCGTTAGTCAGACTAAATAATATTAGATGAACTCTATTCATAGGTCGCTCACCCAGGAAAACTCCTACTGCTCCTACTCTAGTTACAGGGATTTAGCATATGTGACACTCAAGAAGCCAGCTTACGTAGGTTGATCATGGAGGATAATAGTATAAATTAACTGGAAAAACGATGCAAATGTTAAGAAGCATACCTGGAACAAGGCCACCCAGAAGTCAAGAAACTAAAAGGTGGGGCGCTAATTTATCATGTGTTTTACAACCTTAAACTTCGAAGATCAACGATATAGTCAACATTAAAAAAAAATACAAAAAAACTTTGAAGCACGAGCTCTATAAAAGTAATCATATAGACGAAACGGCTCATATTCTAGTCAGTACATTCCAAGAGAATTTGATTCTAAATGTAAAATACAGGGTAAAAGCATTCAAAGTAAAGAGCAATAGAACTGAACCTCTTTCAGTTTAGCCTAAAGCATTGAGATAGGGAACCAAATGTTCAAGGATTACAGTTATAAATGCCTAAATATAGAGATAACATCTACTATAGAAGTAAAGTGAAAGGGTTAAGACGATCTTCAACAAAACAACAAAAAGTAAACGCCTTCTGGCATGTGGAAACGACTTAAAAAATCATTTAGATTATTATTTAATAAGCGAAATAGCTCTCCAAATAAAGATGAATCATATCCAACTTGGAAGTACTCATCTATTTAAAAATTTATTATTACTTAATTTATTTGTTTGTTCCAGCAAAAACGTTGCATACTGTACAAGCCCGAATGAGGCAAAGCCATTAACGAACTACATAGAACTTTCATCTTAAAGTACGGATGTCGTCTAGCAATAATTCGATTAAACTTACTCGTGAACGCAAAGATTCCTTAACAGCAGGCTACGATGGAATACGAAACTGAATCATAGAAAAAGAAGATACAGCTTCTTTGTTGCTGTTGAGTGAGATATCGATTCACTGCAGCTTAACTACACTCGCAAGGCTTCATCCTTCACGAAGCACAAGAGACTATAAAGCTGTCAATGAAGGAACGTATAATCAGACAGTATTTGAAGTATTCTGGTGACCTTACCTTCCAATCGATTCAAGTTTGGACTCGGTTAAGGATGATCATTTTCTTCGGCTGATGTAGTTGTTTGCGCAGAAATAAGAAGTGATATGGCTAGTATCCGTAAGCATCTGTTTTTTTCCTGCTTTTGGTCCGCTCGCAATTAGCTGGAGAATGTATATGCAGTGCCTCAAAATAGATTCTAATGAGCTGTATACCCTTAGGCTACATAAGAAGAAAGAAAACTGCGGTCAGCAAAGCACTGAAGTTCAGAGCATGCGTTTATCTTGGTTAAATATGTTTAGTCTGAAGAACCCAGTTTCAGCCAAACAGAACTTCTTATGGATGTGTTTACATTATCTAAAGTACAGGTGGCAATGAGACGATCACTAAATACGACGATCACTGAATAGATTGGTGTTAAAATCCAAAAAAGAAAATACAGAGACTTCGTAGCGATTGCCTGCGAGTTCGTACGAATAGATAAATA